GAGAAACTTAACAGAAGATCATGGGGGAGGGGAAGGGGAAAAAATTAGTTACAGAGGGAGGCAGACCATAAGAGACTCTGGAATACAGACAACAAACAGGGTTGATGGGAAGGGCGGGGGAGAGGAAAAAATGGGTGATGGGCGTTGAGGAGGGCACTTGTTGGGGTGAGCACTGGCTGTTGTATGTAAGTGATGATGAACCACGGCAATCTACCCCCAAAACCAAGAGCACACTGTATACACTGTATGTTAGCCAACTTGACAAATTATATTTAAAAAAATTATAAAGAAGGAATTAATGGACTAGCTTGACTTGTTATAACATTTTTTGAGATTGAAACACTGATTTTGAGGGCGCCTAAGTGGCTAGGTCGGTTGAGCATCCAACTTGGGCTCAGATCATGATCTCACAGTTCATGAGTTCCAGCCCCACCTTGGGCTCTTTGCTGACAGCTTGGAGCCTGGAGCCTGCTTCAGGTTCTGTGTCTCCCTCTCTCTCTCTGTCCCTCCCCTGCTCACACTCTGTCTCTCAAAAATAAAAATAAATATTAAAAAGAAAGAAATGTTGATTTTGAGACTTTGGTGGTAATCGTGTTTGATTAATGACAGTGCAGCCTTACTGGCTTAATGTAAACACATAAAGGAGGCAAAAGAAAATAAAGAGTTAGGTTGAGAACGATCCGTTTGATAATTTGATGAGAGATCTATTCCTTCTGTGGTGCCTGGGTGGCTCAGTCGGTTAAGTATCGGATTTCAGCTCAGGTTGTGATCTGGGCTCATGAGTTCGAGCCCAGTGCCAGGCTCTGTGCTGCCAGCTCAGAGCCTGGAATCTGCTTTAGATTCTGTGTCTCCTTCTCTCTGCCCTTCCCCCAATTATGCTATGTGTGTCTCACCCTCTCTCAAAAATAAACAGACATTAAAAAATTTTTAAAAGAGATCAATTCCTTCCCTCCTCTACCTGGCTCTCACCAAATCCGGACTGCTCTAGGGTTTTTAAACTAGTTTAATGTTTACACATCGTGATTTTACAAGCGGCTTTTCTGTAAGGCGTTTTATAAAAAGCAGGGCATGGACCCGATTCGGTGGTGCACGATGGGATACAGTTTTGTATTCCCTTCCATCTGGCATTCTCTTCCATCTGGCAACTTTGTGGTCTCTAAAGTTTGATATGGACAGTAGAAGGGCTACTTTTGAGAGTCTGGACAGGAGTTTTAGAAAATGATCAGTATTGACAGTTTTTTTTTTTTTTAATGTAAATCTGACTTGTTTTGCTGTGTCGCTTTAAAAAAAAATTTTTTTTTTTTACGTTAATTTATTTTTGAGAGACAGAGTGAGACAGAGCATCAGCGGGGGAGGAGCAGAGAGAGAAAGAGACACAGAACCCAAAGCAGGCTGCAGGCTCTGAGCAAGCTGCCAGCACAGAGCCTGACCTGGGGCTCCAACCCACGAACCGTGAAATCATGACCTGAGCTGAAGTTGGACGCTCAACTGACTGTGCCATGCAGGCGCCCCAACTGTATCACATTTTTTTCTAGTGGTTTTGGGGTGAAATGCTGTTTTCACCCTTCACACTTTAGATAAATTGATGGCAAGTGAATGCTCTCCACCTTGAAGGAGAATCTTCAAATTGCTTTTGAAAAATGCCTTTGAAATGTCTTTAATGTCTAAAAAACGTATTATAAAAAAACAGATGGCTTCTTGTTCGTATGTTATTAAGAGTTTAGGTTTTCTATCAGAAAATACAAGTGAGCTTTATTTTAAGTAAACTCATTTTGCAGGACTTTGAATTTAGTGAACGGTATTAATTTGCAACTGCTTCAAGGTTGGACTCTAAGAAAGTGTTGCAGAAACTTTATGTGATGTGAAGAAGTGAAAAGGAACTAAAATTTATGCTGTGCCTGCTGCGAACCAGACATGATGCCCAGTGCCTAACTTTCATTTGGTCTTACACAGCTCTGTAAAGTAGATATTATTCCAGCTTTAGGAGTTAAGAAATCGAGGCACAGAGAGGTTAAATACCTGCTTGAAGCAAAAAAGCAAATTTTGCAATTTGGATTTGGATTCAAGTATTTTTTTAATGTTTGTTTATTTTGAGAGCAAGCCAGCCAGCGTGCAGGGGGAGGGGCAGAGAGAGAGGGAGAGAGAATCCTAAACAGGCTTCATGCTGTCAGTGCAGAGTCAGACACGGGGCTCAATCCCACACCATGAGATTATGACCGGAGTCGAAATCAAGAGCTGGATGCTTAACCCACTTGGCCACCCAGGCGCCCCTGGATCCTATTTTTAAAAGCCCAGTTGTTTGTATTATGTCCTAGTATTTAAAATTTGTCTACAAGAAATTGTTGCTACATCTTCAGCGTACAGGTGCAATGTGAATGAAAATTACATGTTGGGACCCCGAATATTTGTTGCCCATGTGCTCCATGACTAATGGTTCTGTTGGGAGGATGTTATGCATACCCAAACAATGAAATAATAATAGCTAACAGTGGGTGCCTTTGCCATGACAGCTGTGGTTTTAAGCACTTGTCATGTTTCAATTAATCTCCATATCTGTATGAGGTCTGTACTATTATCCTCATGTTACAGAGAAGCACAGAGAAGTTACACAGCTAGTCAGTGGAGGAACTGGGACCTAAACCTAGGTATTCAGGCCCCAAGCCTAAGGTCTTAATGCTATTTGATGTTTCCCTTTGTGTAACAATTACCTTAAAACCATTAAAGTGGGAGTGTTCTGGTACTTTGGGGAAGGCAGTGTTAACTTCCAGATGGGATGACTTAGCACCTTTGCTTTGTGGAGATGGAACTTGAGTGGAGCTTTGAAGGAATAGGTTCCCCTAGGTGGAGAAACGGCAGGGTGTTGTGGTTAGAGGTCATGACAGGAATGAGAGGTTCAAACAGTGCAAGATCGATGTTGATGTGTAAATGTGCCACACACATAGAAATGTCTGGAGTCCAATGATGGACTCCATGCGTGTTGCTCCCATGTCTAACTACAGCCAAGTTTCAGCTACAGTGTAAGTAATCCGGTAGGGAATTGTCTGGTTTTAAGAGTCTAACTGCGGTGGCAAACAAACAGGAAGTCATTTATCTTTATTTAAAAAAATTTTTTAACATTTACTTATGAGAGAGAGACAGAGTGCAAGCAGGGTAGGGGGGAGGGCGAGGGAGACACAGAATCCCGAAGCAGGCTCCAGGCTCTGAGCTGGCAGCACAGGGCCCGACGATGCGGGGTTCGAACCCACAAACCGCGAGATCATGACCTTAACCGACTGAGCCACCCAGGTGCTTTTAATTTTTTTTTTTTTTTCCAACGTTTTTATTTATTTTTGGGACAGAGAGAGACAGAGCATGAACGGGGGAGGGGCAGAGAGAGAGGGAGACACAGAATTGGAAACAGGCTCCAGGCTCTGAGCCATCAGCCCAGAGCCCGACGCGGGGCTCGAACTCACGGACCGCGAGATCGTGACCTGGCTGAAGTCGGACGCTTAACCGACTGCGCCACCCAGGCGCCCCTTCCCAGGTGCTTTTAAAAAGCAGCTGGGAATTATGTTCTCTTGTTCATTTGTTTCTAGCTTTTACTCTGTAGGCTTTAAGTTGTGAAGCATTCGCTTCACAGTTTTGAATTTGTGTTTGATCTTGATTCTTACTCCTCGGTGTGGCAATAGAGCCCTTCGATTTTAAAGGTTTATTCGAGATCACTCATGGAAGAGTTTTGTCACTCTCTAAAATTCAGCCAGGACTCTCAGAGTTGGCATCGGGAGAACAGATCCGTATCAAGTTTGTGAAAAGTCTGTGAAGTAACTTTGTTATGTGTTGCTTTTCAGGAGTAGGTGGTTTGCCAGACTTAGGTGACCAGGCAGTTTCACACATAAACCCTCCAGCAAATTTAGAAATAACTAGACCCAACGCAGAGGAAGTGGAGTGCTGCTGTTGCACAAAAAAGATGTCGAGCGGCTCCAGTGAAGCGGATGTGGTTTGTATTTCAAATTGAAGATCTGTCTTTGTTCTTTTCATTCTGCTCTATTTCTTCGCTAAATTGAATTGAAGTTCATTCAGTGAAATGGCAGTAATCACAAGTTCATGAGTTTTAACAGTGATATATAAACCTGCTATAAACATTCGTGTGCAAGGCTTTTGTGAACAGATCCTAGCATTTCTCTTGGGTAAATACTCAGGAGTTGAATTGCTAGCTCATATGGTTAATGTAACTTCATGAAAATCTGCCCCATAGTCTTTCAAAATGGTTGTGTTATTGTATAATTGTGTCACATTGTGCTATGTTTCTTGATTCCTGACGGTAACAATATAAATTATTAAACTATATGTAATTTGGTTTCCCAGAAAAAGCATTTCTTTACTTAAATAATGATGTGGGTATTAATGCCACCTTAGTGCTACGGGCAATTTTTTTAACTTCTATCAGCCCCAATATTTTTTCATAATAATGGTAGATAAAGTTAACTGCCTATCCAGAATGTTTCTCTGGCATAAATATCTGAAATAAACCACTTTGAAAAGCATAAGGTACCATACAAGGTATATTTTTATAAGAACTCCTCTGTAGCCCATTCCATATTATTTTGGTTATGTTTTTTGAAACAGAGACATACATAGCTTCTACATATCTTTATTTTAACATTATTCTTATAGTTTAATTCATTCTTAGAGTACAGTTATTAAATGAAGTGTAATTGTTATGTATCGTATATTCACTTATTTATATCGTGTCCTATTCCCCCCCTAAAAATGTTTTAAGGTGATTAGAGATTAATTTCTCAAGAAAAATAGGTGCTTAAGTGTTTCCTATTTTGTCCACAGAGTGGCACTGTTAGATTGCTTAAAAATCAAAAGTCATGTAACCTGGTTCTTTGTTCCTGGTTAGAAATACTTGGCTTTTACAGCAGTTCCGGTGCCAGGTTACTAGACTAGTCTTTCTACCTTGAGTTACACAAGAGGTTAAGCTGGAAGGAAAATGACGTCTTAAGTGTAGCTGCGGTAATGAGAAAACAGTTTTGCAAGTCCATCTTTTCATGTAGTCCTAGGATTTACAATGGACAAGGGTCCTTGGATATCACCAATAGGCTTTTGGAGCTTCTTAGAAGTGAAATTGAAGTCCTCGATTTTTCTTTCAGTTCTGTCTTTCACCTTTCCTCTTAATTTGTTAATAAATCTTCCTTAGAAAAGAACACGAATACCTGCTTATGATGATGATAACACTGTTCTTTATGCATATGAACCACATACTGCATATGTCCGTAATGTAAGTAATGTTAATCGCCATTTGCCAAATATATTAACATGCGTCCATTTTATTTATTTATTTATTTTGAAGTATATTTATTTATTTTGAGAGAGACAGAGACAGTGTGAGCAGTGGAGGGGCAGAGAGCAAAAGAGAGAGAGAGAGAATCCCAAGCAGGCTTTGCACTGTTAGCACAGAGTCCGATGCAGGGCTTGAACTCAGGAAACCCTGAGATCATGACCTGAGCTGAAA